GTAGGTCCAGAAACCTGCCTTTTCAACAAGCACACCATGTGCCTCAGGGGCGCGCTGAAGTTTGAGAATGTGTGCTTTCAACTCTTAGATATAGGAATAATCCCCATTTCGCAGATGAGAAAGGTGAGGCTCAGAAACGTTAAGAAACTTAAACTCAAGGTCACATAGCGAACAAGAGGCACAGCCAGATTTCACCCCTGGTTTATTAGGACTCAAGAGGCACCTGTATGGGAAGTACCAGGTACATGCCACATGGGCATGGCCTCTGAAGACCTGGAGGTCATGACGCCTGGCTGCCGGTGTTACTGAAGAGTCAATCCTGGAGGCACATTTTTTTCCTTATCACTGGGTGTCAAGAGAACAATGAGATCTGGGTGTCATTACACAAATATACATCCTTTTTTTCTTTTCCTCCAGGATTTTTTTATTTTTTGAGATGGAGTCTTGCTCTGTTGCCCAGGCTGGAGTGCAAAGTCGTGATCTCAGCTCACTGCAACCTCCACCTCCTGGGTTCAAGTGATTCTTCTGCCTCAGCCTGCCTAGTAGCTGGGATAACAGGCACCTGCCACCATGCCCAGCTAATTTTTGTAATTTTAGTAGAGACGGGGTTTCTCCATGCTGGCCAGGCTGGTCTCGAGCTTCCGACCTCAGGTGATCTACCAGCCTCAGCCTCCCAAAGTGCTGGGATTACAGGCGTGAGCCACTGTGCCCAGCCTTTCCTTCAGGATTTTAGAGATTGAGTTCAAAATGACTGAAAAATGAGGTCAGCCAAGCTCCCTGTTGCTTGGCCCCAAACACCGGTTTTCTTCAAGTTTTTGTTTCAATTTGGGATTACTGTCCTCAAGGTAACGTGGACTCGTTCTGGAGATCAAACCTTTAGCAGCTGCCCAAATTCAGCTCCGTCCACTTTTCCACACACCACCATACAAGCCTCATTATTCAAATACAGCAGAGTGAAGAGCCTGAATAACGAAGACAATTCCTAACCTCTCAAATTCCTATGGATCTGTGCTCCCACATCCTTTCTTTCACAATCCATAATTAGCATTCAGAAATCCTGGCTAGCTGCGTGATGTCTCCCCAACCAGACTGGGAAAAGATTTTATTATTTCAGTGAACAAACATGTATTGAGCTCCCCCCTTGGGCCGTACCCTATCTTAGATCTCAGGCCAAAGGCATTCACTTAGTATAGTCATTTCAGTTGAAAAAAAATGCTAATAGTTGACTCCAAGTGACTAAATCTACAGGTAAGCATCAAATACGATCAACATATTGACTTGCATAAAATGTTTCTTAAAGTAGCGGGGGAGTGCTTCGGAAGTCAGCAGACCACTTAGGTGTGGTTTCTGTAACCTGATACGAGTAACTTACAAATTTAGTAAATATATATATATGAACTACTTACTGTTCTATTATTTAACAGGGAAAGCATTTAGCATGAAAAACAGATGTCAGCTTGTCTGTGTTTGTCACCAACTCCAAAACAGGGGATTTTAACATGCATGAGGTTTAGAGGGAAAAAAATGAAACAAAACAAGAAAGCAACAATTTCTACATTTTCTTTCTTTCTTTTTTTTTTTTTTTTTTGAGTTAGAGTCTCACTCTGTTGCCAGGAGCCAGGCTGGAGTGCAGTGGCACAATCTCGGCTCACCGCAACCTCCGCCTCCTGGGTTCAAGCAATTCTCCTGCCTTACCCTCCCGAGTAGCTGGGATTACAGGCGCACGCCACCATGCCCAGCTAATTTTTGTATTTTTAGTAGAGACAGGGTTTCACCATGTTGGCCAGGATGGTCTCGATCTCTTGACCTTGTGATCTGCCCGCCTTGGCCTCCCAAAGTGCTGGGATTACAGGCTTGAGCCACCGAATTTCTACATTTTCGTCATAAAGACTGGTTGTGTGAAAAGGAGTGCCCTTGATGAAGAGTCAAGTCCAAGCCCAAGAAAGGAGGCTCCACCCTCTGTTGCAGTCGTGACTGTGTTCTCCCTGCTGCATGGCTGCACACAGATGACCAGACCAGGGAAGTCAGGAGATCTTTGCTCTTGTTCTTGCATTTGGTGTCTCATTTATTCTTTCTAAGGCCTCCTGCTTGGAGGTACGGATGAGAGAGGTAGGAAGAGAACAGAGAATCAGAGAGACAGGGCGGGGCAGAGGGAGGAAAATGACGAATGCCAGCACTGACTGAGCGTGGACAAATAGGTATGTGCTACGTAAGAAACCCAGAATTCTCTTCATTCTTTCGGGTATCTGCTTTTTCCAGTTATAACTATTCACTACATCTGCTTTGGTAACCAAGAAAAAATGTAATTTCATACTTATATGACAGTTCATTTTCCCCAGTAAGAAGTTAAATTTGCCAGGTGCGGAGGCTCACGCCTGTAATCCCAGCACTCTGGGAGGCCGAGGTGGGTGGATCACTTGAGGTCAGGAGTTCGAGACCAGCCTGACCAACATGGAGAAACCCTGTCTCTACTGAAAATACAAAATTAGCTGGGCTTGGTGGTGCATGCCTGTAATCCCAGTTACTCAGGAGGCTGAGACAGGAGAATTGCTTGAACCCGGGAGGCAGAGTTTGTGGTGAGCTGACATTGCGCCATTGCACTCCAGCCTGGGCAACAAAAGTGAAACTCCATCTCAAAAAAAATAGTTAAATCTAACTTCTTAGCTCAAGAAACCTATGTGTAACATATACATAAAATAATTTTAATTCAAAATCGGGATTTAACATGGTAAATATCCACGTGATGCAATTGCCTAAGGTTCATGGAGAGCTGTGAAGTCTGCGCCTGCTCACAGTTGGTGCCTTCCAATCAGAGTGCACCTGTGCTTTCAAATTGTCCACAATGTTTGAAAAGTCCGGCTATTTTCAAACTCACTTTTCTGACAAGAGTGGCACTAAGCTGCAGAAAGAAGACACTACACACATCAGCGTGCTCGGACAGCTCGCTGTTAGACAACCTGCTAGATAAGGCTAAAAGCTGGACTTCCTTTTCAACCTAAGGATTTTTTACTTTCCTCTGATTTCCTCTGGGGGAGCCTGGATATTGGAGTGAAGATGAAAGGGTCCAGAATTACTTTTAAAGAACTCTTGATATTATAGGCCATCTGTTGACCTTTTTGAAGCAGTTATTCATAAAAAAGAATCTTGAAAACTAGAGAGCTGTCAGTTACGGTGAACTCTGCAGCTGTTCTAAAACGTAAAATGATACATGTATGTAAATGCAAAAGTGTGTGTCTGGGTAAGAGAAAGAGACTTGTCTGCCCTGATACCTTCCCCTGCCCCTTCCTTGTCGGAATTTTCTGCTTTTGTCAGGTTTGGAGCTATCAGTGGTACGTTGTGGTAGCTGTCCAGTCCTCCTTTCCCTGGACCAAAGGGAGAGGCCCCTTTGGTGTCACACTGAATGTACAATCTTCCAATCTTTTGTAAACCTGCTGTGTCCCAGGCTTTTGAGACCTGCAGTGGCAGAGACTGTAAACTGACCACCTCAAAACTCATTGTCCATTTCCTCTTCTCAGTAAGTGCATCCTGAGTTTATTTGGCAAAGCCATGCACACCACTAGAAAGACACCTTTCCTAGTCTCTCTTGCAGCTAGATGCGGCCAAGTGACCAGATTTTGACCAAAGAGGTAGATGTGGAAGGGATGAATTGCACTGCTGTGAGGCCCTTAACAGAGAGGGAGTGGGGCGTTTGGCCCTATATTCTTTTTCCAACATAGAATGCAAATGTAATGACTGAAGCCACAGCAGCTGTTTTGGACTACAAAGTGACCTTGAGAAGGAAGCCAAAATGATTGAAGCCGCATGGGTCATTGAGACCGGGTCATTCACGCATACTCTACCACCCTGGATCACTACGTCCAGATTTCTTTTACATAAGGGGTACATAAACCTCTACGTGTATGAAACACTCATCCTATACAACTGAGCATAATCCCAACTGAGACACTTAGGAAATTATTGAAGGAACCAGGATTTTGAAATATTAAGTATTTGGTGTAGTAAATACAAAAGCAGGCATACCTCCAATGCAATTAACAATGCCAAGAGTTTACCTTTTTAAGGGCTCTGAGTGACCCTGTATATAGAGGTCACTTGTGATGGCTTGCCATTATAATACCAAACAAACTGAGGGTAACGTATGTTCAGTAAGCATTTGTAAGGGTGCCATCCTTAAAGGCGCTGGAAGCCTCAGAAATCATGTTTTATATCAAATCATTACCAAAATGAAATAATGACATTATAAACACTTCCCAGTATTAGAGTTTTCAGTTGTAGGGATGTAAACATTTTTCTTAAAGGAATTGTTTTCAACTAGTAAGACATCACCTTTGAGTGCCTAATGTGCCACGCACTGTGCTAAACACTTACATTGTCTCATTTAATCTTTACAAGCACATACGATGATCATTCTCACTTCACAGGTGGGCAAAGTGAAGGGATATGTAACATGCCTAAGGACACGTAGCAAAACTGGAAATCAAACGAAATTCAGTTGGATTTCAATTCTGTGTTACAAAACAGCAAACTAAAGCATCTTCCATGTTGATTATTTTCTAGATAGTTTTGAGCATCCTTAATGCCTTTAAATTCTCCATTGAATTATGTCATAATGGTTGTCCTTGTTTCTAGGAATCAGAAGGCTGAAATCCAGAAAGGCCTTTTTTGTCTTTAAGGTAAGATCAGGACATTTAGTTACAGCATCAAGTTTAACTCAAGGGAGAGAAAGCCAAAGCCCCCTTCCTTGTATAATTTTGTAGTGTAGCTCTTTATCTTTTTTTTTTTTTTTTTTTTTTTTTAAAGAGATAAAGTCTCACTAAGTTGCCCAGGTTGGTCTCGAATTCCTGGCCTTGGCAATCCTCTCACCTCAGCCTTCCAAAATGCTGGGATTACAGACGTGAGCCACTGTGCCTAGCTTAGCTCTTCACATTGGAAGTAACACCCAGGGTCACTGATAGTCTGAGAAAATTAGAACCACCTTTGAGTTAAGACAGAAAGACACGTACGTTGTTACATTTTAATTAGAATCAGACATTGAATGGCATAAAAGCATTCCATATATGGCTTTGCTGTTCTGAAAGTCATGAACTTAAAATCCAAATATGAGACAAGCAATTTTAAGACTTATTTTGGCCAGCCTCCCCAATCCCAAAGGAGATTTAAAAGGAATAATGTAAAAAAGTTAAGGTCAAGGTGTTTTAAAATCACATCTCAGCTAATGACTAACCCTTTGTTTCCTGGGGACTTCTGCTCTACTGTGAAAGCTGCTGAGCTTAACCCACTGTTGAACAACTGGTTAGTTATTAGTTCCCTGGTGATTGTCCCTCTGGTTAAGCCATACTCTGGGGACACATGAGGCACTTTAAGTGGGGTAGTTACCTTTTCCGGGTTGGGTACAATGTTTGGCTCTCAAAAACAAGGGAAACAATTTACAATCAAAAGGGATGCTCTGTGATTGTGTGCCTTTGGGATCAAGGGTTGAGATCTTAGCGTATTCTCATGAACATCTGTACCAGGTGCTCAGAGACGTTTGAGGGTTGTCAAGCAGGCTGTTCAATTTCTGCATTTTCTGTGGATATGGGCACAATGACCCACAGCTCACCTACACAGGGTGAAACTCCAGACACGTGACAAGCAGTGTGGGACAGATGCTGGCAATCAGAACAGGTGCTGGATGTAAACAACTGGTAAGGCTGCACTGGCGGATGCTGGCGTAATCACCTGCTCTGCCTCTGGGGAGCAAATGCATCCACATGCTCAGCATGACACTGCTTACCCCCCTGCACAAATCCCCTTCCCTAATCAGCCTCATCCAAATCTTCTCCTGCAGTAGCAGCTTCTAAAGCCGCCAGGGCCTCTGCCACCGCTGCATCCACGTCCACAATCTCCCTGTCCCCATCTCCGTTGGAGCCATGCGCATCCTCCTGCCTATTTCCCGAGTCAACCACAGGCAAGACATGAGCGGGACCCTTCACACTAAAGCAGATGCTTAGATCTTCTGTTTCCACATCCTTATTCAATGAGTTCCAGCTTCTCCTCACGGAGAAGGGTGTATTCAAACCATGCTCCCCTACTGTGGGCTGAATTCCCTCTAGGGACTCCTCCACAGTATGGTTCTTGGAAACACGGTCCTTTTCACTATGATCAACGTTGCCTCCAGCTGGGCCCCAATGCTGAGGGTAATCTGGGGCTGGTATCTGGAAGACATGCTCTTCTTGTACTTCCAAGGCACAACTTTCCATGTCAGAAGGAGCTCTGGAGCCTCTGTTTCTCATGACCTGGGTCTCTTCTGAGGCCAGCAATACACAGTCCTGTTTCTGAGTGCCCCCTCCTTCCAGGAAGGGTTGAGTTGGGGGAATAGTATTTGTAGTACTGGCCCAGGAGCCCCTGTCATCCTGGGAGGGACTGGGATTCCCAGTGGGCTGTGGGGCGGCAGCAGGGCCAACGCCATTGACACCGCAGGCATGGTGGTCCCTTCCAGCATCCCCCTGCGGGAGCGGACCTTGGTGAGGCCAGCAGGGCTCCCATGGATCAGCTGTCCTGCTGCTGCTATCAGTCTTCTTTGAGCCCTGCCTCTGAGGGTCATTTTTCTGCACCAGGACTTCACCGCCCCATTTGCCTTTTAATTTAACAGTGTCACCTTCATCTAGCTTGCAGCTGTTGACTTCATTGACATAGCCAGGAGAGGGCACTTGAACTGGATCAAAGAGATAGCTGCAGGGAGGACAGTGAAAACCAGTCAGGTCTGCTCCATCATTAATGCCTCCGACCACAGACCCTGCTTCTCTCTACGATTCCTGCTAATTTAATTTCTGTGATTACTCTTTTCAACCTAGATAAGTGTGTCTAAATCAAACAGATACAGTTGGTATAAAAATGTTCGATGGCTCATGCCTGTAATGTCAGCAATTTGGGTGGCCAAGGTGGGTGGATCACTTAAAGCCAGGAGTTTGAGACCAGCCTGACCAACATGGTGAAATCCCATCTCTACTAAAAATACAAAAATTAGCTGGATGTGGTGGTGGGCACCTGTAATCCCAGCTACTTGGGAGGCTGAGGTAGGAGAATTGCTTGAACCTGGGAGGCGGATGCTGCAGTGAGCCTGGGTGACAGAGTGAGACCATCTTTAAAAAAAAAAAAAAAAAAGGTTCTTCCAAAAATACATCTTAAGAAGAGAGCCAAAAGGAGGAAGGAGGGGTAGGGGATAGATAAATTAAAATACAAAACGGTTCATAGAATTTTAAAATAAAAAATAATAAGTAAAACAGATGTCCACTAATAGGGCCATAAGGAGTACATCCTCTCAGTGGAATATTATGCCATCATTAAAATGATAAATATGAAGTCTGAAGTCACAGGAATGATACTTATAATACATTTTTTTTGAATAAAGACAAACATCACATTTTGATTACAGTGGAATAAAGCTTATGTACGTACAGGTCTAGAATAGAGCTACAATTAAAAAGGCAGTTTATTTGTTAAGAAGCAAGATCACCAGTGACATTTTTTCCCCTTCATCTTAGAAGTTCATGTTCATGTCACTCACAGTTTTATGAAATGCAATGTGGACAGAATTAAAAGCACATATGTGATTGGGGTGATTTATTTTCAGCGATGCCATTTCAGGCAGAAGCCCAGACCAAATTCAGCCTCAGAAAACGATGGTGTTCCCAACATGCTTTGAGAAGTGAGCAAAAAAAGTTAACAAAATCTAGGGCACATGTTCTTTTAAACGATATTATAACAGTCCCAACTCTTAATGTGTTGGCAGTGTTGACCGTGCCTCAAGCTGGATAAATGCACCACTCAGCGCATTTACGTGCATGGTCTTTAAAAGTGACTCCATGCTCACCACAACTTCCTCCACTTAGAAATAATATTTCTCCCGCTTTACCTTTGTATTATTTTACAGCACCTGCACCCCATCTGGATTGCTTTCTGTTACCACCTGAAAAGAAAGCGCAAAGGTAGAGAACACAGTGAGTGATACTTTAGTAGGAATTAAGTTTGCCTTGTTTTTTTTTCCCCTAGAGACTCAAAATGTGTTAATGGAGTCACACATTTTGGCAGAAGGGTGACTACCACAAGGTTCAGAGAGGGCAGTGGTTATCGGGAACACCCCATCTCCATCAGTGTGTCAGAGTCCTCAGACGTTCACTGACATTTGCCTCTGTGTCAGACCTTTCTCCCAAACCTGGAGTTATGTGTTTCATCCCATTTGACAGATGAGGAGCAGAAGGTAGAAGGACGCTACATAGCAAGGACCTGCTGCTGTTTTCTAATCTGCTACCTTCTACAGAGGACACAGGCACCTGGCCAGGGCACAGCCTGTTGTGCGGCAGCAGCAGGAGTGGGAGGAGATTTTGAGCGGACTCCGTGCCAGGGCATCTGCTCCTCGAGGGTTAAAGGATGCTGGAATAAGGTGGCGGGTCGATTGTGTCCCATAATTCAGACCCTGAGAAGCGTGATAGCCTGAGTCGTCACACAAGCTTCAACCACCCTAAATTGATCCTGTGTTGCATTTTCTGCTGCTGGGCCAGTCTTAGCTGTGATTTGTGGATGCTGTTCTCTTGCAGCTCAAAGACATGCCCCCCGGCTGGGCACAGTGGGTCACACCTGTAATACCAGAACTTTGGGAGGCTGAGGCGGGCAGATCACAAGTTCAGGAGAAGGAGACCATCCTGGCCAACATGGCGAAACCACGTCTCTACTAAAAATACAAAAATTAGTAGGGTGTGGTGGCATGCTTCTGTAATCCCAGCTACTCAGGAGGCTGAGGCAGAATTGCTTGAACCCAGGAGGTGGAGGTTGCAGTAAGCCAAGATCATGCCACTGCACTCCAGCTTGGGCAGAGTGAGACTCTGTCAAAAAAAAAAAAAAAGAAAGAAAAAGACATGCCCCCTTGGGCTTCCTGGCAGAAGGTAGACTCATTTCCTCATTTCCTACCTGCCCACTGTCCCCTGACCCCTCCCCATGCTGGGCTTTTCCTCATCATTTCCCTTGGAACAAAATCTTCTCTTCATGTAAGACTGGCCATGTTGGCCTCTTCTTTCCTCAGAACATCCTAAAAGTGGGTGTGGAAGCATCTCTAAATCATTCTTCATTTCTAATATCTACAGTCTTTATTTTTATTTTTATTATTATTTTTTGAGACACAGTCTTACTCTGTCGCCCTGGCTGGAGTGCAGTGGCACAATCTCGGCTTACTGCAACTTCCATCTCTCGGATTTAAGCGGTTCTCCTGCCCCAGCCTCCCAAGTAGCTGGGATTGCCGGCGGGTGCCACTATGCCTGGCTAATCTTTGTATTTTTAGTAGAGTCAGGTTTTTGCCATGTTGGCCAGGCTGGTCTCAAACTCCTGACCTCAAGTGATCTGCCTGCCTTGGCCTCCCAAAGTTCTGGGATTACAGGCATGAGCCACTGTGCCCAGCCTACAGCCTTTAAAAAGATGAGCCAAAGCAGACTCTGCATCCCCAGTCCCGCTGTCTCCATGAAACACATGCACTAGAAAGAGAGGTCATTCATCACTGGCTGTGTTGCTGTCTTCCCTGTTGTCCCTCCTTCCCTCTTTCAATCATGGATGAATTCCCAGGGATGCTACTTCATAAGCTTTTGCCCACAGCGAACAGGATTGGTGCTTTTTAAGAAGTATAGAATGGCTGGTCAGTTAAAAGGGGCTAGATTTTCATTAAAAAAATAAAATCCACAAATAACTCCCTATGGTAGGCTGAAAAATGGCCCCCAAAGATAGCCACATCCTAATCCCTAGAACCTCTAAATAGTATCTTATATGCCACCCCAGCCCCCAAATTAAAGGTATTTGCAGAGGTGATGAAGTGTATGGTTTTGAGATGGTAGTTTGCCTGCTTTATCTGGGTGATAAACTAAACTCTAAATACAATTAAATAAATGCTTATGAGAGGGAGGCAGAAGGCCATTTGATCATAGACAGAAGAGGAAGAGGCAATGTGACCAAAAAGGCAGAGATTGGAGCAAGGAGGTCACAAACCAAGGAGCACTGGCGGCTCCCCATCCCTCCCTCTAAGCTGGAAGAGGCAAGGACCAGATTCATCGCTTGAGCCTCTTGAAAGAGTGTGGCCCTGGTGACAACTTGATGCCTGATTCCCACCCCTCTATCAAGCCCACTGATGCCAATTTCAGACTTCTCATCTCTAGAACTAGGAGTCAATAAACTTCCATTGTTTTAAACCCTTGAGCTTGTAGTAATTTGCTGCAGCAGCACAGAAAACTAGGAACAACCCCAAATCATTTCATGCTCGAGGACCAAATCCCTTGAACTTCCAGCTCTTCCTGGGAGGACCCGTGGAATGTGTAAGAGTCCCTTGGGCCAGCCCTGCATCTCCTGCCACCCTTTCTTTCCTTACCATGCTTCAGTTTGCTTCCTAGCACATGTCACCACGGGACATTCTGTCATCGGTTTATTTGTTCATGACCCATCTTTTCCACCCTTCTTCAAGTCTAATCCTCAGCACTTAAGATAGCAGCTGGTACACAGTAGGCAGTCAAAAAATGTGGAATGAATGAACGATTTAATAGCTATAGATTAAAAATGAAAGCACTACCAGTGAACCTTGTGTCTGTCTGAAATCAGTCAAGACATTTCCAGTTTGTGCCAGCCATGTCACCCAGGTATTACGATGATGGGCTCAGGAGACGGAAAACCCTGATACTATGGGACTTTGGGCCTCAGCCACTTGATCTGTAAATGGGCATAATAGTATTCCTACCATATGGGGGTGCTGGGGGTTATATGAGCAAATATTCATAATAAGCATAGACCAGGGGTGTCTTACCTACCCCCAATTGGATATAGCATATTAAAGCACAACCCTCCTGCCAAAAAAAAAAAAAAAAAAAAAAAAAGATGGAGGTCTAGTACCCAAGAAAGATGTAATCTAGTTGCCAGGACCTGTGCATACAAAGAGTATTAACAATATTAAGTAGTACGTGTTTCTGGAATAAGGGCCAAATGCTATATTTCTATCAACTCTGACACCAGTTGAAAGATAGAAACCCCAAGTACAGCAACAGTTCCATAGGGAGAAAAATCACTCCCTCTGTGGAACTGTGTACACGTGTGTAACATTTTACCTTTCAGGATACTCTCAAATTACCCCATTTCTAAAGCCCAGGATTTCGTCCCCAGCCTCTACTCCTCCTTTACTTTCATTTTCTGCTGGTAATTCATAGATCAGGTGGATAAATAGGACAGGTGGGAGGCAGCACACGCACCTCCTCCCTACCTCAACCGTCTCCTCTCCCCTCCCCTCCTGACCCTCCCCCTCCACAGTCCACTCTAAAATCCTGGCGCTTTTCATGCCTGCAATAGTTTGTTTATCTTGGACCATTTAAGAGCAAACAAACCAACAAACAACAACTAGTCAGGAGGATAGGTAGTAGAAAACAAAACAAGCCAAAGAAAAGGAGAAAAGGGCTTAGAAGTGTTGGAGAAACAAGGAAGGCAGACTGGATTGAAATAATGTAGCCGAAGCAATCATAAAACATTACTCATTGAAAAATCTCAGGCAAACTTTACGATGGTGAATTCAAGGGGTGTACAAGGGGAAGGCGAAAGAAAGGAGGAAAGAAAGACGGCAGGAGAGGAAGAAAGGAAGGAGGGAAGAAAGGGGGGGGAAGACAAGGAAGGCAAGAAAGTGAGGAAAAGCAGGCAGGCACATCCAGAGTGACACCCTGCACTCCCACCTCCTCAGAGGCTGACCAAGATTGATCCCGGGGCACCTTGATCCTGCCTTCTGCTGCCACAGCCAAGACCACAGGCGCAGGCTGCGCTGAATGAAGTGACTGCTGAGATTTAACAGCCCCACTGTAAAGCTACCCCTTCCCTGCTACTTAAAGAAGTCCACATCATTCGTGGCTTTTAGGCTCCCCTCCTTCCCCAGCAAAACCACAGGATCTGTCCTGTCCTTGCAAGCTGCGCAATTACAAAGGACGCTGTGGTGGTCTCCTCTTTCAGAATCAGGTTTGCAGTTTGGTCCCTCCCCGGCGGACCTCCCATTGGGGCACACCACAGGGTTTCCTATAGATCAGGTCCCATACCTGAGGGCCATGCTTCTGCGCCTCTCCGGAGCTTGGCAGGGACAGCTTCTTCCTGGTTAGAGGTTCTGTCATCTCTCACCTCGCCCTGGGCTTCCCTTCCCCAGCAACATTCCTTCTCTAGATCAGATGGTCAGAGCTCTAACGTCCAAGGTTGTGTGACTGCTGACGAAGAGGGTGGGGACTAATATACTTACACCCAACCTCTGCATGCCTGAGTCTACAATTATTCTTCCTTATATGATGTGTCATATCAAATTTAATTCATTTCTTTTTTCATAGGTCACTCCCACTTCTACATCTTGCTTTTAGCAAGGACTTCTCCCTAAGTCCAGGGGCAACAAGGATGTCGCCCAGGTCTGCCAGGTGATACACAGCAATGAAAAACAATAAGCTCTTTTGACGTAAGAGTGGGCTCAAAAGGAACAGTCTATCAGCTCTCTTCCTTGCATCCCTTTTGGCGACAGCTAGCTTAAAGGTAAGAATTCAGTTGTTGGGTGCCCTTTATTACTGAACAAAATCAAAATTTGCTTTCTCTTTGGTGTATAAAAAAGCCACAGGCAAGCAAAGGGCAAATCCTTCACACACCCACTGCTTGGTTTACACAGGGGAAAAACAAACACCATCAGGATGGCTGTGTCCCCCCATTGCTGCCGCAGCCTGCTCCTGCAGCCCTGTGGGGTCTGACTCTGTCTGGTATTTGAAGGCCATGCTAATGCCATGTCAGTCATTGGTGAAGCCTCCTTGCTAGGAGGGTAGCAATGGAGGTGGGGGAAGGGGGAAGTCTCGGGGAGCCCAGGAGTTTTCTAACCAGGCAGAGAAATAGACTGAGTATTCATTAGGAAGTCAAAAGCATATGGAATAGACTCAATCCATCTGGAAGGAGCTGCCTTTAAATAGTGATAGCGTTGAAGAATGACAGGGACATTTCAAAAGTACACAGGAATCCACTTGTAGAAGTGTTACTGTCCAAATGTGGAACAACTAGAGTATTAGAATAATTACTAATATATAGCATGATGGCCCATGAATAAAACAAGGACTTACAAGTCCACGCTAAGATACATAAAGGGAAAGGAAACGCGCTACCGCACAAGCAGAAAACCAGGTAACAAACATATGAGAAGTACTGGAACTAGAAAAATCACCATTTGATAGCCATTCCTAATAATAATTGATGTCAGTAAGAAGTATCAAGGGATGGTACGACGAGTGGATGAAACTGGGAGGTGGACAGGATATTTAGTCTCAACGTAACTTCCCTCCTACACGATTAAGGATGAAATAGTATCCTTACATTGGAGAAACCTGGCATACAGCACCTTAACCAAGTTATCAAAGGTCATAGTGCCAAAATGAGATTAATCAATAGCATGTGGCTCCTGATAGGATGCACTCAGAACACAACCTCACCTCTGTGATTTCCTGACAAAAGAGCATACTCTGAGTTGAAACACGAGGAGTATTCTGCAAAGCAACTGGCCTGGACTCTTAAAACAATGTAATGTTATGAAAAAGTGAAGAAAGACAGAACTATTCCAAATTCAAGGAGATTTAAGAGACACGACAACTGATGCACTGCATGTCCTTCTTGCTAAAAGGTCATTATTGGCATGATTGGTGAAATTGGAATAAGGTCTGTAGAGTAAGTAAAGGTATTCCATTGATGTTAATTACCAGCTTTTGAACATTGTACTGGGGTTATATAAGAGAATGCTTTTGGAGAGGGGTGGAACGAGATGTCCAAACAGAAACCTCCACTGATCTTCCCTTCATCAGAGCCAAATTTAACAAGTTTGGAACACCAAATTTAGCAACTGTCATCTACACAAACAAGCACCTTTATAGGAACCAAAAACCAGATACACAGTCACAGTGCCTGGTTTTAACTTCATATTGCTGAAAGAGGCACTAAAGCAGGTAGGACAGACAATCTTCAACTGCTGATGCCAATTCCTTGGCAGTTGCTGCATGATGTGGAGAGAGAATCTGTGTGTGTGTGTTTGGGGTAGGGAGAGTGCAGTGATTGTGGGACTCTGTGTCGGAACTCAGTGCTGCCCTGTCACAGCAGAAAGCAAAACCAGGCTGAAGTCAGCGGAGCCACGACCCCCGCTGCCTATGCACACACAGAGGGAGCATTTGGATCAGCTCTAGCCAGAGGGGAATTATATATTCCAGTGGTTGGAACTTGAGTTTTGACAAGCTTGCTACCATGGGCTAAAGTGCTCTGCAATCCTAATGAACTGGAAGATAGTCTAGGTCACAAGAGCTGCAGTTCCTAATCATGACATCAGTGCTGTGCTGGGGACAGAGCCAGGGGACCTGGGTGGGGGGCGCCTGATCTACTGAGACACCAGAGTGGCTACAGGTGAACCTGTGCCGTGTGTTCCAAAAACTCAGGCAACACAGCTCACAGCAATGAAAGTGACTCCTTCCTTGTGCTCGAGGAAAAGAGAGGGAAGAGTAAAGAGCACTTTGTCTTGCATGTAGGATACCAGCTCAGTCACATTAGGATGGGGCACCAGGCAGAGTCATGAGGCCCCCATTCTAGGTCCTAGCTCCTAGATGATATTTATAGACACACCCTGGGCCAGAGGGGACTACACTGCCTTGAAAGGAAGAACCAAGTCCTGGCAAGCCCCATCATCTGCTGAGTAGAGACGCCTTGCACCCTGAATAACCAGCAGTGATACCCAGGTAGTATGCTGTGGGCCTCAGGTGAGACTCTGAGATGCGCTGGCTTCCGTGAGAACCAGCACATTCCTAGCCGTGGTGGCTATGGGGAGAGCTTCCACTTGAGAAAAGCAGAGGGAAGAGGAAAGTGGACTTTGTCTTGCACCTTAGGTACCAGCTCAGCCACAGTGGGGAAGAGCACCAAGAGAGCTCTTGGGGTCCCTAATTCCAGGCCTTGGCTCTTGAGTGGCATTTCTGGACTTGCACTTGACCACAGGGGAGTCCACTGCCCTGAAGGATGTGTCCTAGGTCTGGCAGCATTTACCCTTGGGCCTTAAGTGAACATCGGCAGTAACCTGGCAGTACTCCCTGCGGGCCTGTGGTAGTAATGGTGATAGGGAGAGGACCCTTTGCTTGGGAAAAGGGGAGGGAAGAATGGAAATGACCTTGTCTTACGGTTTGAGTGACAGCTCAGCCCCAGTAGAATGGAGCACCAGGTGGATCGCTCTGGTTTTTGCCTTCAGTCTCTAGCTCCTGCCTTGAACCATAACAGATTCATGGTTATGAGAAGGAACTGTTTCCCTGTTTAACCCAATTACTTGTTGCCTGACTGGCTTTGGTACTTGTTGATTGTAGAGCCTTAGGGCCTTGAGCAAAGGTAGGAGGTAGCTAGGTAGTGGTTACAGTGGGCCTTGGGTAGGACCCAGTGCTGTGCTGGCTTCAGGTCTGACCCAGCACAGTCCTAGTGATGACGGCCATAAGGGTGCTTGTGTCACTCTACCTCAGTTTCAAGTGGATCAGCACAGAGAGGGATACTTTTGTTTGAGGGAACAAAAGTCTCTGCCTGGAAATCCAGAGAATTCTTTCGGATCTTATCTAAGACCACCAAGGTGATACCTCTGAGTCTACAAGAACCATAGCATGACTGGGCTTGGGGTGCCCTCTACTGTGGATATGACTTAGATCACAACACACAAGTCCCTTGGAGTAACTGAAAAGCCTTCCCAAGAAGAATGGGTACCAACAAGCACAGACTGTAAAGACTATAAGAAATATCTAATTGTCACACCTGTAATCCCAGCAGTTTGGGAGGCCAAAGTGGGTGGAGGTCAAGAGATCGAGACCATCCTGGCCAACGTGGTGAAACCCCATCTCTACTAAAAATACAAAAATTATCTGGGTGTTTGGCATGCACCTGTAGTCCCCACTACTTGGGAGGCTGAGGTGGAAGAATCGTTTGAATCCAGGAGGCAGAGGTTGCAGTGAGCCGAGACTGCGCCACTGTGCTTCAGCTTGGCAACAGAACAAGACTCCGTCTTAAAAAAAAATAAAAATAAAAAAAGAAATACCTAATTGTTCAATGCCCAGACACTGATGAGCATCCACAAACATCCAAGAAAAACAAAAAAACTACATGACCTCACCAAAAGAACTAAATAAAGCTCCAGGGCCCAATCCTGGAGACACAGAGATATGTGACTTTTCTGACAGAGAACTCAAAATAACTGTGTTGAGGAAACTCAAAGAAATTCAAGTTAACACAGAGAAGGAATTCAAAATTCTGTCAGATAAATTTAACAAAGATTGAAACAATTAAAAAGAATCAAGCAGAAATTTTGGAGTTGAAAAATACAAGTGGTATACTGAAGAATGCATCGAGTCTCTTAACAGCAGAATTAATCAAGCAGGATAAAGAATTAGTGAACTTGAAGACACGCTATTTTAAAAATATATTCAGAGGACACAGAAGAAAAAAGAATAAAAAACAACAATGCATACCTACAGGATCTAGAAAATTGCCTCAAAAGGGCAAATCTAAGAGTTATTGGGCATAGGGACAAGTAGGAAAAGAGATTGGGGTATGAAGCTTATTCAAAAAAATAATAACAGAACCTCACAAACCTAGAGAAATATATCAATATCCAAGCGGATTTAAAGAAGACTACCTAAAGGCAATTAGTAATCAATGAATCACTATATATGTATTGATTTGTTCCTAGGTTCTCTCTTCTAGGTCTTCTGTTTTTATGCCAAAACTATGCTGTATTGATTACTATACCTCTGTAGTGTAATTTGAAGGTAATGTGATTCCTCCAGGTTTTTTTTTTTTTTTTTTTCTCAGATGGCTTTGGCTAGTCTCGGTCATTTGTAGTTCCACATAAATTTTAGGATTGTTTTTTCTATTCTGTGAAGAAATGTTGACAGATTGCATTGGCTCTACAGATTGCATTGGGTAGTATGGACATTTTAACAATATTGATTCTTCCAATCCATAATCATAGAATATCTTTCAATTTTTTTGTGTCCTTTTCAATGTTTTTCACCAATGTTTTATAGTCTTCATTGTAGGGATCTTTCACTTTTTTTGTTAATTCCTAGGTATTTAATTTTATTTGTAGCTATTATAAATGTGATTTCTTTTTTGAATTGTTTGCTCTTGACATATAGAAATGCTAGATTTTTGTATGTTGATTTTGTATCCTGCGACTTTACTTAATTTGCTTATTAGTTCTAATAGTTCTTTGGTGGAGTCTTTAGATTTTCCCATATATAAGGTCATATCATCTGCAGACAACATAGTGAAACCCTGTCTCTACTAAAAATACAAAAAATTTGCAAGGTGGGAGGATCACTTGAGGTCAATAGTTTAAGACCAGTCTGGCCAACATGGTGAAACTCTGTTTCTACTAAAAAATACAAAAATTAGCTGGGCATGGTGGCAGGCTTCTGTAATCCCAGCTTCTCGGGAGGCTGAGGCAGGAGAATCGTTTGAACCCTGGAGGTGGAGGTTGCAATGAGCCAAGATTGTGCCACTGTACTCTAGCCTAGGTGACAGAGTGAAACTCCATCTCAGAAAAAAGATATTCTGTATAAATTAGACCATGGAAAGAGATCTTGGAAGGCAGCTCATCAAAAGTCTACCAACTTTTCTGAATTTACACATCATCATCCTGTGTATGTACTGAAGACCACATACCGTCCCGATCCTAGGATGAGAACTCTGGAGGCAGATAAAGGGTATAGTTCCTGTCCTCAGGCTGTTGCTGCATCTTAGAGGGGGACTCATACTCCAGAGCTTTGGTGCTTGTTGGCTGTCTGCCTTTCCTACTACATATGAGCTCCTCACAGGCAATGCTTAATCCAGCCAGCATTCAGCTTGCACTTCATTCTTACTATTCAAATGCAGGAATGTCTGGTGAATGACAGGTGGGAATGAAGGTGTGGGGGTATGAGATATCACAAACGATTCGAATAGAGGGTCTATACTCCTTTCCACAATCAAATCTCATACTATCCAGTGGTCCAAACTACAAGCCAGATGCAGGAACTCTGAGAGATGGGAGAGACCGTTGTTCTTCCTTTCCAGCTTAGGAAACAGCAAAACCTCCATTATGGAATTCCAAGAGTCAAGGATGTCCTGCTTCATGGCTTCTATTCAACAACTTTTAATGTGGCTGCTGGGAAGTGGTTTGCGTTTATAGAAGGTGGAGTATTTAAAAGGGAGATGTAATAGAATGGAACATGTAAATTTCAACTTCATTTTTTACTAATGTTTAGAAAACAAGGACTGAGATTTCACGTAACCTGGTCAGAAGGTGAAGCAGACAAATATTTAGTGAGCCACTACTAGGGGCTGAGGTCCTGACCCAAGAGGAATGAATAAAAATAACTACCAGGAGCTGTGCCACCTTTATAGAAGAAACTAGAGACTGCTCACCCAACTTTATAGACAGTACTGAATGTATAGTTGAAAAAGGACTAGAAGATAAATTCTTTGACTGCTCCATCTATTTTTTTTTTTTTTTTCCAGCAGAGCCATCTCCTAGTTTTCTGGGCAGTTTTTGAAAACTCAAGGGACAAATTTTTCTGATGTGCTTCCTTTTCTCTACTGAGGTGAAGCTTCTGTTATTTTGGAGAACTTGGAAGATTATATGCAGACCTTTGTTATCAGTATCGTGAAATAGTCCACTTCATGCGTTCTCAATAGCCAGTGAGCCAGTGTGCTAGGACAGCCCTTTTCAGGGGAAAAAAACCTGTGAACACATCCCTGCACACAAACATCCCGTCAAACCCGGCGCCTGGCCTCAGTGTGGTTTTCTGTTGTCATTACAACATATAATTCGTTTCAACTTTACCACAACCCTTTAAGGTGGAACCATTGCCCAAGGTTATAAAAGTTGAATCATTATTAATGAAGGTATT